TGAAACACGTCAGATGTCACCGTTACAACTCAAAGCGTCGTCGTTATAACAACTATGCTACCGTTTTCTGCGATTCACCCATCTGATGAACTGGAGTGAGAGTCCGAAACATCAGGCCATTAGGCGCTCTGAGGGTCGTTACTGATAATAACCACTTACTTGCACATTATAAGTAGGCCGAATTTCGGCATATCCAAACAATTCCTTCATTATGTTAACCAATAGAAGTTTTACTCTTTCCTGATGCCTTGCACATACATATCTTTAGTTCAGTATAACAGTTACAAGCGAATTCAATTTATTTTTTTACAGTGCACTTTTCACGCATTAATTACGCTTTAATCAAGCATTAAACCTTTAGCCACCATTTCTGCAAGAACCTTTGACAGAGGGCTTTTACAATTTGGCGACTGCACGATGGATCGCTAACGAAATGTCTTGTTCCAGTACTCACATTTTCTTCTCCTTTTTATGAACTGCTTCCCGGAACTAGCCTGTTCGCTTCTCTTAGGACGGTAACCCGACTAACGGCTAGCAACCTTGTCGGCTCTCCTAAGGCGTCATGCCTGCCGCCGACCGCCACAATTATTCATTTGTTCAATAGCCGACTGCCTCCAAGGTCAAATGCGTCCACTGGGCTGGGCCCGAGCAATGACCTTAAAACGGACACGCACGCACGCACGAACACAAGCTTACGCACGTGCCAACTGGTCGAAGTTCCACGAGGACCAACTGGTCTCGTGTCGTTACCCCAATGTGGCCAATTAGGCCACAAGAGAACGCGCAACCTTATCCCCTTATAAGCCACTGTCACACCTTAGACGGGGAGAGTTGCATCACTCGCGGACTACGAGGACACCGCAGTCCGCTCCCAGTGTCCGGGTTTGCTCCGAGGCGGGGACATCAGCACGCTGGAGATAAATCAGCGGCAACAGCCACCCGAGACAGCAACTCCGAGTTTTGTATACAATAAACCCTCCCCCGGGTGGATTCCAGAATTATGCCCTTCTTATTGTGTTCTTACCAGGGGATTCCAAAGGGCGTAATTCGACGGTGACACTCGTCAGATGCCACCGCTACAACACTGGCGACCCAGAACCCATCACTATAACAGCTTCTATTAAGAGCCAGTCTCAATTAGCGGTTGTAGACACAGTTAACTTTTTGGATATGCATGCAAATAGTCAGCGTGTTTTAAAATCAATCGGAGTGGTGTTGCCTCAGCATGACAAAAAGGATGCCAAATCATGCATCGAAAATTCACGTTGTATAATAGTTTCATTTCAGGAGAAACAAGGACAATTGTTGTCTCAAATAAACTCACAACATCCTCTTGCTTCTTTCGCGTATCAAACGCAGACAACGCCTCTAGTTGGTCGCCTGAGTCGACCTCGAGGGGTTCTGTTTGAAAATTAAGAAAATCGGAAATTTCCGAAAAAGTGAAAAATCGGAGCTACAAAGAAAACGCCAGTTTTAAATGTAGAGGTAGCTTGTTCATGCAAAAAATCTGAGTGAATAAAGCAGTATAAGTAGGATTACGTTTAAAAGTAGTTTTCGGATAAGTATGCGGATACATTGCGGGCAATGTAAAGTATCGTATATTGGGGAGTCACTGAAACGCAGAGCGCACGTGGCACACAAAAATTTCCAGTTGTTTATTTCTATACTCCTGGTGATACGTTGAACTAAGTCAACCAGATCGTCACTTAATTGCACCAATTTGGACGTCACAGGAATAAGCTATTTCGTAAGCTCAAATGTGCGCATACCGGTCAGTGAATAATAAATTTAAATAAATTCGTCAGCTGCAATCGCAAACATAGCATCATGTGTGCATTGAGAGAAATTATCTTCCGTCACATAGTTTTGTAATTATTTCGAGAGTTTGATAACGAGGTTCTGATCGTTCATGAAATTCTGCTTAGCGCTTTAGATTTCCAGTGTTTTTACTCGATTGTCCATAAAAACGGTTTTTATTCTACGCGTTTATCGAGATAAGGCATTTTTAAGAGAATTTACCTAAGTAGTGCGTTTTAAAACATCCTTTTTTATGCAGCTGTCTGTTTGGGTCATGGTTTTAAGCTCACCCAAACACGTAAAATCGTTGACGAGAAATATGAACGTCCACAAAAAAATCGCGAACGTTTAGGCCTATAATTGATTAAAAAAACTTCCTATAATAAGCACCCTCTTAAAAACCGCTTTAAGTAGATATTCCGGAGTCGAATATTTGTGGATTTTACCTTTTTTGACGATTAAGTCAAGATAGAAATGTGAAATCCCTAAAGATTAGAGATAAATTTTCTGCTGAAAATGAAAGACCGCACTTTTCTGTGTATACTCCAGCAGTTCTAAGTATATTTACTTACTTCTTGGTTGCGTTATAAGATTGCAAAAGCACAGCAGATTAACTAAATATAAACCACGAGTTTAAGAAAACTAATAATCTTCTGTCCGTTCCGTTGCGTTCGCGTACGGCTTGACAGAGAAACGTGACGGCATTCCGCGAATTTTCTTATATATGCTTGATTGCTGCCCCTATTTTCGACGTATTAAAACAATCGACAGCCTCATAAGTTGATTACTTAACTTTATGGCACAAAACGTATCAGATTTGCGAAACACAATTTTTTAAGACTGAATCCGCTCTTTTTTTCCCGAAAATAATGCGTCGTCATATACTTGCACTAACTTCACTTTCGTGAACGCAAAACAAAATTGTCTGTTCTCCGAGCAGATATAATTAAAGCATTTCTGATCTTTATTAATGTTCTCTTGTAATACAACAAGCATAAACAAAAAGTATCGGTCCGCAGCGTGTAGTGGCATGAGAAATTCATTGGATATCGAGAAGCGCTGGATTTGGCCCAATTGGCTCCACTCATTTCCTCAATATCCTCATCCGAACCGAACGCTTTTCTGGTAAACAGGACTTTGCGTACCCAGTCTATTCAGTGAATACAACAAACAACCTCAAAGGTGTATTAAACCGCCCTCTCAAATGTCGACTCTCACATTTCATGAGTTAGACGAGCTACTGTACATAAACAAGGTTGGATGACTGAATGAAAGGAGGGGAAGCCCGCAACGGCAGTTGCTTCATTCTACCTCCTTTTGTTATGTTTATCTGTCTAATTGCACCAAAATTCTGTAGGTTCCGTGTTCAGAGTGACACCGCGGACATTTTCATTTCGAATACCTGGTCACTTTTACGTGAATTTTCTTCATCCTACTTTTATGTCTTCTTTGATTTTCCTGAGAGGTAGTTTAAATCAATATTCAGCATGCTCGAGAAAGGACCCTCACAACGCTTATAGTTACAATTCTCTGGAGTGTAAACTTTCTTTTACTGATGACAGGATGAAGCGGATTGACGCACCTTCTGAATCAATGTCCGTGTCGTAATCCATGTCCCTGAAGTCGGTGGTCACATCAAATGGTACTGGCAAGTCAAGCTGGCTATTGGCACCCTGCATGGAAATGATCAAAAAAATTAGAAAAAAACTTAAACTTTAACACACACCAGTTTTTCAAGGCAATCCAAGAAACCACGAAGGAAAGGGACGTAGTACGGAATGAATATGCTCACATGTCGGAGAATTAGCCCTTGGCTGAGGGACATAAGGGGGATTCAGTATCGAGAAGAAATTGGATGTTGACAGCAAAAGCCTCCCCGACAGATGCTTTTACGTAAATGCTCACGTGTACAACCGAATCACCAATGAGTTGCGCT